CTCTGGATAATGAGTGGGATACAGGGTATTTACAGTGTGACAGAACTTAAATCCTTACTTACTTAAGTTTGTCAAAGTGTTTTTATCAAAATAATGCGGCAAACATCGAACCAGTTACGAAATTGAGCAGTAACGAAAGGTTTTGAATACTTCAGAAAGTAGAAGAAGCATCATACCGACGAGTTGAAATCACAAATCAAACATTTAAATTTTAAGTGTGTTAAAAGGGATAAGGAAGACTAATAACCACGTATTATGAATACACGATACACAGTTTATCACCTTGTGGAATGATACAGGTCCGTATTTCATAGTATTCTGGAATATACTGTTTATTCAAGTAATATTGATATCGCTGACCTTTTTGACTAATAACTGAAGTATTCGAATATTTTGTATTTTTACACTGATTCATTTAACAGTATATGCATGTGAGAAGAAAACACGATAGATAATGACGTCATTTTATCCTTCTCAACGTGTTCTTCTTCTTATTCCTGTTTTATTCAATATTACACTCGAATTTCGTACATAATCGTATGATTAGTACAAGTTTATTTGACCCCTTTCATGCACGACAGACTTGTGTTCGAACAATCTTATTTTTCTGTTAGATAACTAATTGACACTAGTTTTAGAATTTTTGAAATCCAGGTGGTACTGAACAGTGAGTTCGTCGTAGATTTTAATCCTAAGCAGTAAGCATGTATCAGGGAACTTTATCCTGAGATGTTATTATTTCTGAAGAAGCTCAGAAATGATAAATCGCCAGGCAGAGAAATCCATTTTGATTCCAACATACAATGGATGGCAGGAAATTCGATTCTCCCAGTGTCAAAAATCAATATTCTGTACCAAATGTTTGCTCGTATTCTTTCGCCTTCTTCTAACCTGTAGATGATGGAATCACTTTCGCCCTCAAGTTGCTCGAAGACGGCGACCAGTGCGAATAAACAAGCGTTCAATGTTCATAATCACTGATAGCAAGCATCAACGCCCCTGATCCGTATCCAGGACCTGTATGTGATTCGGAGATCGCATTAACCATTTGGCTACAAGGACACAATCCAATGGCCCATCAGTTCTAAATTCTGAAGAATGGTGATGTATCAGAGAACCAAATGACTTTTTCTAAGGATTTCATGTTATTCAAGTGTTGGTTGGCCGGAATTCGTTTTGTTACAGGATTCATCATGAGGTCATATTGGTTACAGAACCAGTGGAAAACCTAAGAGTACTGAAGAGCTATTTTGTCCTAATTTGAGACTGTTCTCACTACGCATACACCCACACACGGGTTCGAACCCAACACCTTCCATTTACAAGGCGGTGAGCTCGTAGGCAATTCAGCCACTGACATCCGATCAAATATCCACCCCATCAACTCCAACTTCCACCAATTCATGATATAGCACAAAAACAATTAATTTAAGAAATTACTTTCAGGTGAGCACTGATGATGGCAGAACTTATTTTCACTGCTTTAAAAATGTAGTGTAAATTAGGGGAAACATGAAACGTACACTGATATCACACTTCACATACATTTCATACCTTGCTTGTCAGTTTCTTCCTGGGTCGCTGTAAGGATTCTCATCATTACCACAGCGTTTCTTCTTCATCGTCTTACACAATGACACATTACTTTTGTCTTTTCCTGAATTGCATCAAATATATTACTCAAATTTGTTTAAAACACTACAAAATCATTTACTGCCATAGAAACCAAAACTGTGTGGATAATTATCCATATGTGTATTAAGATGTAAGCTGCTAAAGTCTCTTTGTACTACGCTGCCCACAGTCCAGAACTTGCTTATGCAGTAAAGCGAAAATCGCGAATACACGAAAAAGCGAAATACATGTCACCTATATTTGCACGAACAGTAAGAACACAGTGATATTGATGTAATTAAGGTTGTTATGAGATAATATCTTTTACTGGAGTTTTCCCATTCATCAAACACTATGCTAAAACGTTTATCATCAAACAAACGCTTCGAAAAATTAGAGAATCGAATTCTTGTCAAGTGTAGTTAAAACAGGAATTGTGTGAAGTCAAAATCTTATCACCACACTTCACTAATTATATCAGTGAAAACCTGTGTCCGCTAGAGAAAATATCTTATACATCAATAGCCTTACAAACAGAAAAACACAATACTAAGCTACTAAGTAAAAAGTATAACCACTTTCAGTAACTTGGAATCATCAATGGGTAAAGCATTCCTAAATGCTGACAGCAGGTCCCATCCTCTGCTGACGTTCCTCCTAACCTCTCTTAGCAGGTAGTGAGGCTAGTAAAGAGTAAAAGTGTGGATTTGAGACTGACAGCGTCACAGCAGATGTGACATTATAACTCGGGCTAGAGGCCTTATGTTCCACATGGAGTGAGAGGTAATAAAAGAAATCATAGAAGCCGAAAATACTGATGTTAAATGAATGGTAATTTTGTAGAAACCATACCAATAGTTGGAGATAACCATTTCGTAGGAAATACTACTGAAATAAACAGTATGTGATAGTCATCTTAGGCTTCTCCTCAAAGTACCTGTAATGCTCAGAAGTAATTTTCGCCCTTTCACCTGCAGAGTATGAAATCGCCTATCAATAGTGATCTCAAAATTATACAGTCTCAGAGTTATAGCTGAAAAGCCATGACAATAACTAAACCGGCGAAGATAATTTTAATCTATGATGTAGAAAGTCTTACTGAATTGACTGCTTTTGTCATCAACATTTAAAAGTTATTTTCTGAAACATAATTGAAACGACAAGTAATTCATTCATGAAGCCTCTTGGTGAGCGTTACGTCTAATGATCATGAGACCAGGTACATAGGAGAAAGAATGAATTTCAATAATTCGTGGAGGAGAGAAATGACTGCATTTCAAAGTAAAATTTCACCATGAACTACATGAGATCTTGAAATTCTTGTCCAATATCTCTCTTTCCTCTCAATAAAACACTCGAAAATCCTCGAATATAGTAAAATACACACTTCATACTGAACTCCAAAATCATTGAAGAGAATAAACCGAAATGTTTTCCACCATTTTGTCAGCTGTTTACAATACGAACAATGAAAGTTAATAGGTTCATCGTAATTTCAATTTTAGTGTAGTTCATTAATGAAACAAGTGTCAATCAATCATCAGGGTAGTCATGGTGGATACATGAATTGGCACGCCAAGAATTATTATTATTATTATTGTATCCTTTAGTTCCTAGAGGAACATAGGGCTTCAGCTGCACACCTCCATTGCCTTCTGTTTTCTGACAACTTCTTCATCCCGCTCCACGTCTGTCCACATGCTTTCATCTCCTCCTCGCATGACCTCATCCAAGTCACCCTTGCACTGACGACCAACTCGCCGCCTCCCTTTCGGGTTCCACTCGAGCGATGGCTTGTCTAGTGATGTCACTTGCTGGTCTCCTCAGAGTATGGCCAGCCAATCCATTTCCATTTCTTCCTGCCTATTTGGAACGCCAAGAAAGGGAAAATTATATTGAAGAACTGTAGCAATTACATATGTAATACAACACAATAGAGGCTGATCGAGTATAGATAGAGATGTAAATCGTTAACTATAATGAAGATATTTGGTGAGAAAAATCAGAGAAATCAGGCGTAAGAAACAAGATAGGCAATGATGTAATTCATTAGACAACTGTCAGTGATATTCAGTCATGAAACCATTCAAGTAACTAACGCCTGTTTCTTTTCAATGTTATTTCACAAAACTCAAATTCTCATGTTCTGTTTCTTGCAAGCTTACAATTATTCAAAACTGTAGTATTTACATCAACATGTGGTTTCCAGTCATATATCTGTTATATAGTATTTGAGAAATACTGAAAACAGGTATTTCATTGTGCACACATCACAGCATTAAAAGTTACACTTCAACATAACATATGTTATGCTCTATGTTTTGCTCTACTGAGTCTGTCAGGTCCTTAAGTGTTGATAGAGATTTTCTGCGAGTCAAGTGGTTGGTTGATGTAAATTCCACTGTAATTTCAAGCTCATTAAGAATGTTACGTGGAGTTTGTGATGTTCCCATCCGACAGACACACTCCTCAACCTCACTCAGCCAATAAGCAGGAAAGCCCAGAAAACAGTCAAGGTCTATTATGCAACCAACCAAAACACCTGAGAAAAACAACTAGCCATTTGCGTGTTCTCCTAATCATGGTAAATGAGAGACGGAAAGAGGAGAACAGGAGAGCTTGTTGTCTGTCTGTCCCTAATCATTTCTCATCGATTAAATGATGACCACGAAATTGGTCTAAAATTGGGCTGCAATCATAAGCTCAGTTCGGATAGGTGAGTGGGTGGGTGGGAAGAAGACCATGCTAGCTGATTGGTCCACTCACCAAATGACCTAATACTAATCAACCAATCTGAATGCTCACCTGTGACCAACAATACGTATCCACTGACCTTGGCCTTTTGCGTTACCCCACCCCTCAACTGCTAGCTGAGTCAGCGAATTGTTTAAAACTTGACATATGCGTGGGTCAGAATGAGAGGGGACACAGACAAGTCTTATTTGTCTTTTGGACCCCCAATTATTTTAGGGCATTCAGTCAATTCAAATTTTGCACCAATCGTATCAAGGCGAAATGAATGTAGCTTATTGACCCGCGTAGGCGATGCACTTTGTAGACAAAAATCAATTGTAATTTATTGTGAATGGAAGTTTCGCCTCTCGAGTCGGATAGTTATTCTCTCGTTTTCAAGCGATATCTGCTAGTTGTTGGTCTATTTTGGAATAAAATATTCTCGGATATATCGATAGATTTACTTTGTGTTTAGCGACGACATTTGCGATTTATTCTCTCCATCGACTCACATACAACACATCCTCCTCTTCCGAATACAATTATTTTTCTCCTCTCTCTCATCTTCGCGAACAAGAAGAGGAAGAAGAAGGAGAAACATGCTACATAGACTCAGGCTCACCCAAGCGTCAAGGAGATTGTCTAAAATTTCTATGTCATCTACACAGAATTCATGGAAATCGATGAAATCAGAAGGTGCAATACTCACACGTCTTCTTCACTCTCCATCCAATTATCTTCACCATCAAGTGGTTGATAATGATGAAATTGTGATTGTTCAGCCTACAGATCGAGAAGAAGATGGTCGAAGGGGAGAAGAAGAAGAGGAGAGAGAGAAACAGACGTCAATCACAATCGAAGTAGGAGAAGATGTTGGGGAGGAGTTGACCGATGAAGATGGTGAAATGATAACAATTCAACCCTCACCCTCGATATCTTCTACAAATTCCACTTCGACATCACATCTAGTCAATACACTTGTCAATTCTACGTTGAATGAAATTCCTGTCAGATTCCTGACGACACAGTCATCTTCTAAGCCTGTTAATATCCTACCAGTGAATGATACTTCACAAACTTTATCAACAAGTACACGAGGACGTGGTGCTCCACCTCAAAGTCTATCATTCCGACCAATATTACCAGCTGAGAGTACCCGCTCAACAAGTCTACGAAATCCATGTATTGTCTCCAACTCCACTTTACCCACACTTTGGTTACGTTCATCTGACACGAATACGACAATCGGTATTACCGTTCCAGGAGGTGTGCGTAGTCATACTGACCTGACGAGTGTTCTAGCTCAGAGTGCAGCTGTAATGCATTGTTCAACGAGGAATATTATTAATCGATCTCCTGGAGCTATATGCTGCACACCATCTGTCCCTGAGAATACCACAGACGATAACAGTGGGAATAATGCCATCAATAATACTGCCCCTGGTATTATTAGCTGTGATAGCAATAGTAGTGGTAGTAGTGGTGTTTGTGTTGATGGTGGTATAAAAATTCCTACGACTTCAGTATTACCGAATTTATCACGTGAATCATCAGGTGGCGATTATTTAATTCTCGATGTCAATACTAACACACAACAAACACTGAATGGAATTCCCCATCCTGGAGCTTCATTCAATACAAAATCTGTGAATGAGCTGCACAGATATCAGTGTGCATATCCTGACTGTGTTGAAGTCTACTCAAATGTGCATAGACAGAAAGAATCTGTTGAATGGGATAATGGTAAAAGACGGTATGTTTGCAGAGAGCGTGATTGTGGTGCCGCATTTGTTCGATTCTATGTGGCAAAACTCCATGCGTTAACTCATAGAGTTGATCGTAAAATTTCCACACGACTCTCAGAATATACTGTATATGTGCAGCATCTTATGAATGGAAAGAATTCTGGTGTGGGTGGTGAGCGGACAGTTGTCAGTCCACGAAACTTAGGTCCAACAATTCCCACCGACACCACCACAATCACCATCACCTCAACAGCAACAACAACAACAACTACAAGTACAATAAACATCCCTTCACCAATTACTCTCCTGAAGTCACCTAGTCAATTCAGTAAGCATATCGAAACATGCAAATGTCGTAAATGTCGTTGGCTCCCACACGCGCGTCCACCAAATTCGAAACCTTCACCTCGAATACCTCCTATTACGCATATCAATGGGAAAAATTGTATTGCCTTTCCACGCTCATGTCCATGGAAAACATGTAGTAAGATATATGGAAGTTTCAGAGATTTAATTCACCATATTTATCGGCATACTGGTGAACGACCATTTGTCTGTGATGAATGTGAAAGAACATTTATACGAAAGCGTGATCTACTGAGGCATCGTAATGATCATTCAAGAGGTGGAGAACAGCCAAGATCTTTGTTTCGAATTTCAGACTCCTTCACAGGCAACAAGTCAACGAGTTGAACCTACTACTCTCTCAGATAACTCCAGGATTACCGATATTACTAATAGCGCTACTTCTACGTCAACAGAACAATGAGAACACGAATGTCCTTCGCGTGATGATGACTACCACCACTATCCCTGACGCTGATGTTGATTCCATTCCTACTGCTCCTGCATCCGTCTCTCCTCCTTCACTAGTGCTAATGGGGACAGTCTCCCAACTTCTGGAAGGCTTCCACGAACATCTGTAAGTGATACAGTGAAGAAACTCATGCATCGTATGTCATCAAACAGTACGATAACGGGCTGAATCAATCTACTGATAACATTTCATTTTCAATACTTCATTGTTTTAATTAATCAGAGTAATCACAACAACAACAACAACAATAACAATCACATTAACAGAAACATCAATCATTCAGTCTATCACTCCACTGGTTCACAAAGAGTATTACGCAACAACCAACAGCTTGTATACGCTTGAGTGATGGTGCTTGGTAACAGTATTAGAAGTAGTTGATGTTGTTGTTGTTGACACTTTTCTCCGAACCACTTTCCAACTTCACTCATCAAGATTTGTCAATTGTCAAAGACATTGATTTCTCTGTCTCTCTCACACACACACACTCTCACGCTCCTGCCTCCTCTCTTTCACTCACTCACTCACTCACTCAGTGTCGCTGTCTGTCATTCACGCTTGTTTGAAATAATTTCAATGATTTTTCGTTGTTATTCTTGATGTTCTGTTTCCGGATAACTTCGATGACGGGAGAATCACTCGCCGCCTCTACACCTTATTATATTTCTTTCTTATTTTCAATGCACTCAAAATGTCAGTGTACACATACACGTATATACTTTGTACTGAATATATATGTATGTATATTCATGTTGTTCTGTTCTACTGCTTGTTGAACGCTGAAGTGAATCCTGCTTGTTTAACGCTGCCTTAGCCTAAGCCTAAGACTCAGACTAAGCCTGACTCAGCCTTAGTCTGAGCCGCCTATTGATGATTTGGATATGATTGGTCAATTTTCGAAAGCACGGATGCGTTGGATTTCCATTGAATCCTCTAGTCACATGTTGGTTGACCTTGTGAGTGTGAGTGGATATGTAGGACTATTTTAATGTTAATGGTTAGCTGAGAAGTAATTGTGTAAACATATTGGTAGACACACATCGGTAATCAAACAGGATGAAGTGGATCCGACGTATCTCGTTTGTGGTTCCTGCCGACTGTTTTCAATCTGGAGGATGAAATTCGAATTGAGATTTTCAATTAGGGCCCCACCTAGTGTCGTCTCCAAACTTTCTCACTCAATCAGGTATTTCGAATAGTGTTTCTGTGAATCTGTGATAAGCCTATTTCGCTGTGATAGTGGTGATTAGTAGCTGGTTGTGTTCCGCTGCATGATTGGAGGTGGATGGGGACAGTCGTTGCAAGCCACCTAATAAATGGTAGATTGGCGTATGGTCAAATAGCTCCGGATTTATTATGGTAGTTGAGTAAGTGGTGAGTCGGTTGATTGTACTCACTCATCTGAGCAGCTCGTCAACGTATATGGCCACTCTACTTTCTTCCTTCCTTCTTTCCTGCCTGCCTGCCTTCTTTGTGGTCCCTGTATCGCATAATCTGAAGAATATCGTTACTGCTAACGTACTCGTCGAAAATAGTTGAGGTTACCCAGGTTTCCGTCAGTGTTATTATTATTATTCTAATTACCTTGCAGATACTAGCTTTCTAGGCTACTAGCTTACTAGTTTTCTCGCCGGTCCCAAGCTGGGTAAAGAGGGAGTGTTGGGGCGTGTTGCTAGCAGCTCCACCCCCAAAACTTGACCAAATCGCTACAGAAACTTCAACGAATATATATATTAAAAATTCTAAAAACATAAGCAATAGCCTTACTTTTCGCTGGAATCGGGGAAGTGAAATGACGCAGGCTGGTGAAAGCCTTCGGGAAGCCAGTCAGCCGATGTGCCTTCTTTCGATGAAAGCAAAAGTAAGGATGGCTACCTGAAATGTTCGCACAATGTACGAAACTGGAAAGGCTGCCCAGATAGCCGCTGAAATGAGAAGGTACAGAATAGAAGTGTTGGGAATCTGCGAAAGCAGATGGAACGGAACTGGAAGGTGCCAACTACCTACTGGAGAGACAGTAATCTATTCCGGCCACCTAGAGGACAACCATGAGCACACCAAGGGAGTGGCCATCATGATGTCACCAACAGCAGCCAAAGCTCTCATGCAGTGGAAACCAATCTCCTCCAGGATAATGACAGCCAGGTTCAACTCAAAGGAAGGAAAGTTACAGTCATTCAATGTTGTGCGCCTACAAACGTCTCAGAACAAGAGAAGAAGGAGGCGTTCTACAGACAACTACAAGCAATAATGGAAAACGTCCCAAATGGCGATATCAAAATCCTGATGGGCGACATGAATGCGAAGCTGGGAGGAGACAACACAGGAAGAGAACTCACCATGGGTCGTGAGGCCCTCGGTGAAATGAACGACAATGGTGAACTCTTCTCAGACTTCTGCGCCTTCAATGATTTGGTGATTGGCGGTAGTGTGTTCAAACACAAGGATATACACAAGACGACATGGATTTCACCAGATGGAAACACCAAGAATCAAATAGACTTCATCTCAATTTCAAGAAAGTGGAGACGGAGCCTACTGGACACAAGGTCAAGGAGAGGAGCAGATGTGGGTTCAGACCACTATCTAGTACAAGGGACTTTCAAGGTGAAACTAAAAGCCTCGAGGATAGCTGGAGATAGGCCACAATGCAAGTTCAACACTCAATTACTGAAGGACACAACCACAAAAGACACCTTCACTGCAACTGTCAGAGCAAAGCAGGAAACACTACGCGACAGCACTGAAGAATCATGCGTGGAAGAACATTGGAAGTCTCTGAAGGCGATTCTCAACGAAACGTGTTCAACGGTTCTAGGAAGAAAGAAGAGACAAGACAAGGAATGGCTCTCAACGGACACTTGGAAATTAATAGAAGAGAGGAGAATGGTGGAAGAGAAAATGATTCAATGCAAGGACGGACAGGAGAAAGAGACGATGAGTTCAACTTACAAAGCATTGGACAAAGAAGTGAAGAAAAGTGCTAGGAAGGACAAAAGACGATTCTACGAAAATCTAGCTACTGAAGCTGAAAAGGCAGCAGGCAAAAGTTACCTGAGGACACTTTATCAGATAACCAAATCTCTATCCGGGAAGAGACCAACACAAGCGAAACCTATAAAAGACAGCCAAGGGAAGCCCATTACCAAGGAAGAAAAACAGATTAAACAATGGGCGGATCACTTCAAAAGACTCTTGAACCGACCATCACCTGCAACCCGTCCAGAAATACCAACAACAGCGCGCACACAACTGCAAGTTGACACCAATCCTCCAACAAGAGCTGAAGTCTTGAACACAATCAAACTTCTGAAAGCTGGGAAAACAGCCGGACCAGATGGAATACCCCCTGAAGCACTAAAAGCGGACCCAGAGACGACAGCAGACATGCTGACTCCATTATTGCAAAAGGTCTGGAAGGAGGGAAAGGTGCCTACTGACTGGAGGAAAGGTTACCTCGTGAAACTACCAAAGAAGGGCGACATAGGATTTTGCAAGAACTGGCAAGGAATCATGCTCCTGTCGACACCAAGTAAAATCCTGAGTCGCATCATCCTGGAGAGATTAAAGGACGCACTGGAGACAGAATTCCGACCAGAACAAGCTGGATTCAGGAAAGGCAAATCATGTTCTGACCAAATTGCAACTCTACGCATCATCATCACGGAACAAAGCATGGAATGGCAATCAAACCTCTACCTCAACTTTATAGACTTTGAGAAGGCCTTCGACAGAGTTGATCGTGAAGTAATTTGGAAATTACTCGAGTACTAAGGTGTACCCCAAATATTCATCAACCTTATTCAACAGCTGTACGACAACGGTGGCACATGTCGAGTGATCCACAATGGAAAACTCAGCAAGGCGTTTGGAGTAAACACAAGAGTCAGACAAGGGTGCTTATTATCACCAATGATATTCCTCATTGTGGTGGACTGGATTATGCGTCAGGCAGTGGGAAAAGAGAAGACAGGAATATCCTAGACCGACGTGAAGAACCTAGAAGACCTGGATTTCGCGCGTGGATGACTTATGTTTGATTTCACACAAAATCGAAGACTTACAAGCGAAGACCAACAAACTGGTCGACAAAGCAGCCGGCGAAGACAGGACTCCAAGTGAACATAGACAAAACGGAGGTGATTAAAATAGCCAACCAACAACAACAGCAACATCCGGCGTCAATCACCATCAACGGGAGGGATTTGAAAGAGGTCACTTCATTCATTTATCTAGGGAGCATTGTCTCAACTACAGGCAGAGGAACGGACGAGGATGTCAAATCGAGCGAGAATCGGGAAGGCGAGAAATACATTCATCAGCCTGAAATCAATCTGGAAATCTTCGTCACTCAGCATCAACAACAAAATTCAGTCGGATTTTCAATACAAACGTAAAGTCAGTTCTTCTATACGGATCAGAAACTTGGCAGGCGGGTCACAAAGAATATTTCCAACAGCCTGTTGCAGACCTTTATTAACAACTGTCTTCGCTAAATACTGAAGATCAGATGGCCGGAAAGAATCACCAACAAGGAATTATGGGAACAAACAAATATGCAGGAGAAAGTGGAGATGGATCGGACACTCGCTGAGGAGACCGCTGGGTGACATCGCGCGCCAAGCCCTCGAGTGGAACCCGAAAGGGAAGCGGCGTGTGGGACGTCAGTGCAAGGGTGACATGGAGGAGATCGTGTGAAGAGGAGTTGAGAGAAGATGGATTAACATGGATGCAGGCGAAAAGTATTGCAGAAGACAGAAGAAAATGGAGACGTGGAGTTGAAAATCTATGTTGCACTAGTAACCCAAGGGAGCAATAATAATAATAAATTACGATTATTATTATTATTATTCTCAGATCCACGTATGATTGTAGT